TGAAAGGTGGGACCGGAAGTGAGCGTACATGTGTTACAAAAGCCTCAGTTGAAGCATTGAAGTTCACGCCGCTCCAGATTGCTTTGGATGGTGTCCGACATCAGGTCCGTGAAGTCTTGCACACGGAAAAGGTAACACTAGCACATTGTTTGTGATAAGTGTGTTATCAAACCACATCGTTGGAAAATTACCAAACCGTAACCTGGTCTGTCATTTATTTATTTATCTTTAAATTCACTCTGGCTGAAATTCGCTTTTTCAAGGAATAATTCAGTGAAACTGATTGCACTATTTCCATTCACGTTTGATAGAGCCGATCAAACTTTATCATGTTTTACTGTTATCAAACTTCGTTCATTTCATTCATTTTCAGATTTTCTAACTGTTCGGATCATATTGGATTGAGTCAAAACAACAGCCAAATCGTTCGAGATATCTGTTACATAACTACCAGTTTTTTACCCGGGAGTTGGGTCAAACGAAAATGCGGATTTTCCAAACCCCAGTGTTTCCCAACCTTGAACTATCATGGGACAAGGTGAATCCAGGCTTTCAATCAAGAAAGATGATACTTCATACCAGAGTAAGATTACTTGTACTTCTGCATTGTATTGTTCGAGCTGTAACCTTACAGTTCTCTTGTTTTCAAATCCTGTGCTTGTTTTACAGTATGGAAATGACCCGTAAGTACGACGTCAGGGAGCAAATAACAACAGAATACAATATGTATGGGAGTATTTTTATCGATAACAACGGAAAAAATGTAGATGAGCACAAAGGATAGGTTCACATCCCCTAGATCGTCATGATCTGATTGACTAAACGATCCAACTGTTTTCATTGCCCCACATTTGACTAAAATAAATTGATTGTGTATGGAGACGATACGGGTGCTGCTCTCAATCCTGGATCGAGTTTTTCGTATGGAGAAGACATATTGAGAAAATTGCTTCCAAAAATTTGATCAGGGGTGGAAAAGTTTGATGCTGCCCAAATAAATTTCTTAGTTCTACATCTTCACCTCACCTTCTTGATGAGGTTGACAAGTAACTTTGTTCCACACCCCACAGTGCGATGAACGTTAGTAGGGATGAGAATCCCATAGACACGTAAACCCCCTGCTCTGTTTGGGGAACCGGCAACCAAAGCGCTGAATGGGAATTGTGCAAAACCTCATAAGATAGACGCACTATTCCACCCTTTGGATAACGAATTTCGGTGATCCTAACCACGGACCTTAAAGTCTGATGCATACCAATGACAACGAATTCAATAGTGGCATCACAAGTGAATTCTGTGAATGAGAGTCGTGATAGACCGTTGATCGTAAGCCCCGGAAAGATGATAAGCATTTCTCACTTTGTATTACCTTGTGTTGAATAAGGAGTGGATGTAGTTCTGTCCACCAGTACATCTAAAGAAGGTAGAGAATTTATCATTCTAATGTTTCTTAAGATATAAAAGTCAGAAAACGATTTATTTGAGTAGTAGCAAATCGAACGAGTATCAATGAATTAAGTAATATCAACGTCTTGAACTGTTTGGCTATTTAAACCCCTGTGGATATTGTCAGAAGTGCATATTCACGGAGACTGTGATGGCTGAAACCTGAAGATGTAGCGATTTGCGTCATACTCGGCTTGCCCAGCCTTGTGAACCCCTTCAATGAAGGAATCCTTTCGGTCCCAATTTAAATGGCGGCAGTCGAGGTCCAACTTGTACAATACTGATGTGCAACCACTCACCAGAGTCAACCCAGACGCTTTGATACTCAAACAAGGCTTTCTTAACCCTGCTCGAAGGGATACGCATTGCTGACAGCCATCAACAAATCGGATAAAATAGCCCTACACTGCGAACAAGGTTTTTCGGTGGCATAAGTGATGCGGTGGCATTTAACAATGAATAAATTTGTAATGATCAAATCATAGAAAAATATTGTGAGCCTGATTTAGTATGGAAATGAATTCCACTAGAAGACTTCTCTCCCTGCTTACAAATCTGAGCTTAGTGCCCGAGAAGTTCAGTAGGTTTATCTCAGCTCCTCTAGTTATATATTCCAGAGAGATAGGGGCTAATTTCAATTAGTGAAGGGGCAAGACAAACATGAAACATGATTTGGGACGTGGGAGCAGATGTTGTTGTATCCGCGTGTGTTGGTCAACAGTTGCTGATATGTGAAAACCACGTCGTTCACCAAAAGGTAATTTATCAAATAATGCAATCGTGTCATCCAATTTAGAACTATATTTTTTGTATATATGGCTCAAATGGTCACGAGTTGAACACAAAATAACCCGAAAAAACATCAATCGGTTTTAGATGGGGTAAAACATATTTGCTGCACGTTGCACTATTTTCAAAATTAACTTGTGGTGCAGGTATAATTTATTATTTGGTTGCTTTATTACTCACAAGTAGTAAACTGTCGAATCCTCAAAACAAAAAACGTTCGGAGATACATATGAGGAAGAAATTGCAAAACGTCATTCAGTTATCTCACTCTATCTCCAGCCACTCATTTGGTCACTCAATCAGGAAGGAGTCAGTAGAAGGGTGTAAATCAAATATTAAAATAAAGATGTTTGAAGTAAGCAAACCGGATCTTCGTAGAACGTGAGTAGATGCACTGGTGCCATTTTTTTACAGCTGTATCACTCAGGTTCTATAGTTATTGAATACGTTGGGGGTTCAATGCGGCGTGTGTGGCCAAGAGCCTTAGTCGGGGTATTTTAACATCCGCATGCCAGTTCTGATTCTGAACAGCTCAAATATACTTCGACCGCCAATCTGCCTCAGCAAACATAGCACCGTGGCCGGGCATTACACAAAATATTTCTGTCTCAGATGATTCCCAAAAATCTCTTGAAATCATCAGATTGCGAATAATTGATCTTTTTAATCGAAACCGTACCTGCCAGACTCACCTTCTCGCATGGAACCCTTCCTTCGGATTGTCTGTTACGAGAAGAATCAGTCCAAAAACGAGCACCCCTTCTCTGTTAATTTTCAGTTACATTACTTTCTCTCTCTCGCTCTCGCACTACTGGCCTCGAATCCCGATCATTTTGGTCATTGGATAGACTTAAGTCAAGCCCACATACTCGTGCATACTGCACTTTATGTGATCATTATTATATGGTCAGAAGTAAAAGAACCGTAGACGGGGGAAGATTCCAGTCACAATTAATCACTATCGCCAATGGTTCTGTTCTTTTTGTATAAACGGCATTACGTGCATACGTACAGATACAGCGAAATGATTTTTGGCTTCGCTATTCCAATTCGTTACGGGTAAACTTTACTTCCAGTCTTCTATTCAATTCCTCTTTAATTGGTAGTTTGCACACAACCAGAAAATAACGTGTGCGCTTTGCAAACAAAACGTAGAGGTGCGAACAAGCACTATTTCACTAACTCGCAATCATGCGCACACCGCAACATGATACTCATTAAGGTTTTTTGAGAATACCTTGGAGAATAAACTATTGGTGTGATAATTCCATGTGAACCCAAAGACAAGAAGGTGTGTCTATTTTCCCAACACTGCTAAGAAGCCTCCAAAAGCCAAAAAGGATAAAGACGGTCGTCCACTGTTCTTTGCTCTCGAATGATACCAGCGAATACCTTGGGACTGTGAAGCGATTTGTTCCTTAGTTGTATTTTCTCCTCCGGAAATCTGTTTCTGACACAGTTAGCAAGAGCGTCGAAAGCGAAAACGGCCGGTTTGGAAAAATACCAAGGACAGTTTTACGCTCTCATTGGCCTATATTAGTGGATACTGGAGTCCACACTCTAAGCAGGTCCAAGGTTTTGCTATGATATTCATTTACCGGACCCGCTTAGAAAAAGAGCGCCAGTATCTTAGATCGATCAAGGGTTGGTGCAATGTCATCATCATCTAAACCTTTTTTCATTCGGAATTTTCTGGATGGTACATCGCTCCATGACTGATTCTCCTGTGGGGCTTCTCTACCGAAACTTAGGGGGAATAAGAGTCGTAACTTATCCTCTTGTGCAAGTGCGAAAATCGCACGGTCGATCGGGCTCAGTCATCAATCGGTCGGATATTTCAGCCTCAGAAAAAGACGTGATGCTTGCCCACGTAACTTGAGCGATAACCCACACCCTGTACACAGCTGCGAGTCATTAGAATACCCAGTAAACTTCTGCTGTGTGCAGTGGGAGTTCCACCATCATGCGGCTGGACTACAGGTGACAACAAGAGCATCACAACCATTACAAGCCGATGATTAGACAAACTCGTGTCAGATTGAGGGAGTACAAGTTGAGTAAATCGCAGTGTCACAGGGAAATTAATTACTCCAGGTCAAGAGTGAGATGAACAAGACGATGTGAAACGCTCGCATTGTAGTACGGAATTTGATAAGATGGTTATCATTATGGACATACGATAATGAGAAGCCGATAATCTATTCAACATCTTTAATTATTTCGTTTTGACTATGACCATCTTTGCATATTTTAACAGGCTTCTGACTCAGATCTATTGCCAAGTGGTATCGTACGAGTTTGCCTAGAATCCGAAATTCCGTTTGGTAACTATCGCAATGCTGAAGCATGCAGGATCAAACCACATAGGATCACAATGGGAAAAATCTGTTCGTGTGCCTTGTAGCTAGCTACCTTGAGGATCCAACTAAAGGACACTTCTCACTGTCAACTTTGAGTAAGAAAAGCAATGGATTTCATGATCGTATGATCACTGGGACCCTGAAGTTTGCTAACCTTAGACAAAATTTACTTTGCGTTTTTAATAACTAAACTTTATTTTAGCAACTCCCCTCCGTTCCAACTGGCCCAATACAGACTCTGACGGTTCTCCCAATTTTCATGACTCGTTGTTCAAACAATAGCAGGTTCGACAGACCACTACCCGTGCAAAAACGGCTACAGCAAACAGACCAAAATCGGCCATGTGTGCGGGGAGAAAATCCTGGTTTGACAGCTCGAAACGTCCAAACAGCGCACCCGCTTCTATGCCGGAGGCCAACAGGGACACCCCTGTCCCTGGTGCGTCGGAACGATTGATACCGAAAGCGCTACATTTGGACAAACGGCCCGTTACCAACGAGCCCGTTTTGTGCCGCTATAATACAGTGAAAGATAAACAAATTCGTGCTCACACAGTGAATAACAATGAGGCAGAAAAGCGAATGCACAAAGCGTCCACGGAGCAACATATCTCAACGGATCAAATTACTGCGGCATACGAACGAGCGTTGAAACGTTATGGATGGCGACTGGAAATTCCCGGAGACCCGTTGAAACTCAAGTGAGTGGTCTCTCATATCGATGAACAGTTTAACAGATTCACACGTAATCCGGGCAGCCTGGTGCAATACTTCAATAATAACTGATAGTGTGTGACAAAATCACTATCTCAAAAGATGAATTGATGACCTGGAGGTAATATATACAGTACTGGCCGATTTTGATGCAGTAAAATATTTTCTTTCTGATAAAATTGAGTTTCATTATATTTATCACCTATGCTTTAGGTATGAACAATAATTTATCTTTTGTCTACTTCGATTCAAGTAGTTTCTAGGCTACATGATTGTCAATTAAACGTGCCTGACCTTGGTTGCCAAGATAAAATAATCTCAAAGTGACTGTTAGATCTGTTCGGGTTCTAGGCCAAGGTTGAGTGACGCGCCAAACCAAAAGACGGAATCAAGCTAGGTACAATTGGTTTACTAGCGTACAATAAATGCGGTACTACAGTTAAATAATGATTACATCGCAATTACAGGTACAAACCTCAATTCGTGGCGTTCTCACAGGGAGTTCACCGAACAGTCAATCGATCTAGGCTGATACAGGTAACAGCTACTAGGGCCAATCGAGCGGACAAAACCTTCAGTGGCCGAACAAAGCGAAACTGGCGGGACGAATTAAAGACACGAGTAATAAGGGTAGACACATGANGAATTGAGTACTGTTAGATCTGTTCGGGTTCTAGGCCAAGGTTGAGTGACGCGCCAAACCAAAAGACGGAATCAAGCTAGGTACAATTGGTTTACTAGCGTACAATAAATGCGGTACTACAGTTAAATAATGATTACATCGCAATTACAGGTACAAACCTCAATTCGTGGCGTTCTCACAGGGAGTTCACCGAACAGTCAATCGATCTAGGCTGATACAGGTAACAGCTACTAGGGCCAATCGAGCGGACAAAACCTTCAGTGGCCGAACAAAGCGAAACTGGCGGGACGAATTAAAGACACGAGTAATAAGGGTAGACACATGACCGACTGTCACGATGACTGTCCAATCACAGTCGGTGCACAAGGTCAAAGGGTTCAAGTCACATTAGACGAGGGAACATGTGCCGGGGAAAGTGCGTGTTTGAGACAGGGGGACAGGGGTGCGTGTGTCTGAGTGTGCATGTCTGTGGAGAGGCAATTGTACGGTCACATGATCGAACATGAATTAGCAGTGGGTGCCGACATAGGGGAGGTGGGATGCCAAGTGAACAAATAATCGAGTCAAGTGGTGCAAACGTGGGCGCCGATGCAAGCTCATGTGAAAATAAGCTACTGTGGATCAAAGTTAATCGACAAAGGCGGTGAATAAGCAACCGAGGGAAATGCAGGATGGAAACATTGGGAGGAACCGGTAAAACAGATTCAACAGTGACAATCGTAAAGCTTATCACGTATGAAAACGCAATATAAACTTCAGAAAAGATGCGTGACTCTATGGTCCAGTTCATACAACTTCCCCTAATAGCCCGGATTTCAATGTTATTGAAAATCTGTTTTCTGCTTTTAAGAGAGAGGTCAATGTGCTACCTGCACATTGGACATTGGAGGCAAAAGTGCAGTACTTAGTGGGAAATGACTTCATAACGAAGTTGGTGGATACTATGCCGAAGAGACTCGAAAAAGTCCTAAAGAACAAAGGCAGACCAATCGCCTATTAGTGTACACAAACTTTACATCTTAATTATTATCAATGTTAATTTGTTGTAAATAAAAATTGTTTTATTCTCTTTATTTAGTTCTTAACTTATCATGGTCTAGGTCAACCACTACTAACGAAATGGGAGTATCCGCTTCATTCTGCTGAGTATAAACGAATCAGGAAAACCAACGCCATAAAGACTCACCAAGCCTTGTTTATTATTATTTGGAAAAAAATTTAGTTTCGTATAAATGCTAGTGCCTATAAGAAACCCCAAGTGTTTCACAAGGGCTCATTTCTTCGGTTTCGATTAGACTGTATATATTTGTATCTATTATAAAAGTAATATGTAAATAACTTGACAAGATTTCCCTGGAATCACACAACCGGTTCGTCGGTTCTTGCCGCTCGTCAAGCACGCCTATCCGGTAGTCGTTTATCAGTTCACTCAAGAAGTGTAGTTTCGACACAAAAATTTCATTTGCAACACCAGGTATATTTGTTTAAGTATGGCTTTCAGAACCAGTTCATGAGAAGATTAGACAGGCTGGGATCGGAAATACATTGAAATCAGCTGAATTGAAAGTCCCAAAAGCACTACAAAGAAAATGTAGAATTATTGTTTGCCCTTTGTAAATGTATAGTTCATCTCCTAAGTAATAGTAAGTCCCAAACAGGACGAACCAGCTGTCCAGTCTTCTTTGTTGGTCATAATAAGTATTTCCATTACTTCTAAATGCATTCAACAAATATGGTATTAACGATCTCCCAAGGGGTGAACTCCCCACACCCAAGACCATGAACAGTGCCTAGTGCCTGTGAACAGTCGAATGAGCTAATCAGACAGGATACTCTAAAGTAATTCAGTTTGTCTTTTCATCTAGCAGGTTCTTTACCGATCCACCCATTTTATTACACTAAAAATAGAAACTAAAATGTGCAGTCTTATAACCTAGAAATCTGCATCAAAATGGAGAGTAGTATAAAACGTTTATGACAAAATCAGTTTGCCGATTCTGTGATTAGAAGCAGAAGGTTTTAGGAAAAGAAATTCTGAAGATACGGAGAGTAATTCACAAGTCAACTGATCTTAGTATGATATGCTGGGCTCGTGT